CACTTAAATTAAATTTCTGAATTGATTTCACTTATGACTATCAATTTGACGTCAACTGCAAGAGCAGCAACAAAAAATGTAAAGTCCTCTGAAGCAACTTTTTTCTCGGTCGCCATCTAGTGCGGGTTACCTATACAACTCGCCCTGGTCATCATCGCTTGAAAACAATAACATGAAGCTGCCATCGGAGTTTTGTTGTGATAATTGTTTGAAAACAACTTTCATCTAAACATTGTTCAAGTGTGAATCATCTATAACTTCAGTGCAACATGAGAAGTTTATCATCATTCTTCATTCTGTGTTTCGTCTCATTCATCCATGGAATATGTAAGTTCAATATTAAGGCAGTGCAACTATTTCATGGACTATCTAAGTTACAATGAAAAATCATTTTACATTGATAAATGTTATGGTTTTAACTTTATTCAATCGCAATAAGATGTCGTATTTGATGGGCAAACACTCAATCATCTTTGAGAATCCTTTTGATTCACGTTTTTCTATTTATTTTACTTCTAGCGTGTCGTGAACGGATTTGCTCGCAAAACCAAACTATTTGTTTATACGACTTTGGACCAGTACCAACTGATGAACGAGCCACTTTTACAGTTGAAGTTACAAACCCCTCTAAATCAAATACTACTGTATATGAATATCGGTTCAAATTTGACCAGTTTCCTCAACATGATAAAACCATCTCATTTCCTAGACATATATGCGTATACGATGTAGTCTTTGCATCAACCTGTGAACGCAAAGTTGGCAACTATACTGTACAAGTTGATGTATGGGAGTATCAACTCGATGTACCTGCACACCCAGTAGGAACAGTTGTTGACACCTTCGAGCTCACAGGTAAAATTTCGGTAATCGAAAAGAGTTAAATTTTGATGAAAAATCTGTCCTAATTGATATCAGAAAATGGATACTGCACACTCTTTAAAGTAGCCATTGAAAATGTTTTATACTTGCATGTTATGTGCAATCACTCAATCACCTTTTAGAATCCGTTTGGTTCACGCTTTTCTTGTCTATTCATTTTTTACTTTAGATATAGCTTTACGTTGGCTCGAAGTTGAAAACGATGGACCTGTTACCCTTGACTCACCAATCACCTTCTCAGTTTTTAATCGCCATAAACTAGATGATCCATCATATGAATATCGGTTCGCATTTGACCAATTTCCTCAACATGATAAAACTATTGGCTCAACTTCACATCGAGTTGAATACACAGTAACATTTGAATCATCTTCAACATCGAAAGCTGGTAACTATACAGTGAAAGTTGATGTTTGGTTTATTGGTGTTCGCTCTTGTTCTATAGGAACTGTTCTTCATACTTTCGAGCTTTCAGGTAGCGTTAATGAGACACCAAGCCGTCAATGTAAAAAATATACTTAACCATTATTGTACTACTTTTTCATTCATTTTTCTAGATTCTATTACTGGAATGATTAATTTAAATCGTAATCAACATATTAGATATGAAGTTTTGATGAACAAATTTGTTTCAACTGAAACGCTTGTTAAACTGATGGCTGATATTGCGGATCCTACCGGATTTTTCACCGGACGATGTGGAATCCAACCAGCTAATATAACTTACAAATGGATTATTAATGATGAAGTTCAAGAGGAAAGTTCTAAGGTTATTGAACGCACTTTTTCCCGGCCTCAACTGAACAACATCTCAGTGATTATTACAGCAACTAAAACCAATGGAAGTCGTCTTATACAAAAATCTGGTACATTAAGCACTACATTGAAAAGCCGAGATCTAATTACTGAATTTACTGTTGATGGTATCACCGAGGTTAAAGTGTTTGAAAGACTTCAACTGGACTGCAAAATTCATGGCGGAACACCTCCATTTCATTATCACTACAGTTTTTGGATGAAAGAAGCTCTTTCCGAAGCTGAAAGAGTTGAAAAAGATACAAATGAGAGCTTCTTCTCAATAGTTAATTATTTCAGTGAAAAAGGAACCAAAGACTTATTCATTAGAGTTGAAAATGATGTATCCTCATTGTTTAAGGACTTGACCATTTCAGTTTATTAAAGTACCTTCCATAGTAAGAAATGCAAAGTACATAACTTATACTCTTTGCTCTTTTTTTCTGTCATTCATTCTCATTCACAATTTTTCGCCATATCAGAACGTTATAGTTTTACTGATAATTCACAACGGAAATCAGTAAAAAACCCAAGATTAAAAATCATAAATTAGCCATTTAAACTGAATCATTTTTTATTCACTATACTGTCAAAACTGATTGGTTGAAATGAAAAAACCTAATTTTGAAATGGAAAGGCAAATGAAGAAATGAAGTTTCACAAATCTTCTTAAAGATTTACTACTAAAGTATTTTGGACAAAATGGTGAAATACTTTGGGCATAATAGGAAAATAAAAGGTAAAAACATGAGCAAATGAAGGTTCAAATGAGTAAAATGTCAATTCAATATTTCTTCTCTGTTCAGGAATTTTAGTATATATGTTTTCATATGTTTGTAATAATTTTTACAATCATTCTCATCAAAAGAGATTTTGATATTCACCAGGAGATCTAGAAGACCATTCCATCTGCTTTGTATTCATAACTAAAAAATGCGGGTATAACTTCCGTATTCAGCCGGTCGAATTTCTTCATGAAACTTTGTGTACTTATAGAACTCGACAAGCTGAGTCCGAATATATAGGTCATTTTATGCGGAAACGCCCCCTAGCGGAGAAAATTTTGATTGTATGAAAACGCGTTTTAGACCATTTCTAACGTTGCGCATGCGCATAGAACAATTTTTCGGACACATATTATTAACAATGATCAGTTCAACCTATGTGCGAAGTTTCATGACTCTAGCTAGTATATTGACTGAGATATGGGTCAATTTATACATAGTACCACTTTACCTCGAATCAATGCAAAAAAGCGAGAATTCAGTCTTATGAGCCTCTTGATATTCTGGAACGTATAAATATAATCATAAACAGAGCAAACAATGAATTTACGTGCCCTAACCTAACCTAACCTAACCTAACACATGTGTTCACATTTTGATAGTCAGTGCCTATTCAATACACATTTTTTGATTTCCAATGATTTTGTATATGTTTTGTATTATACGTCTATGGACCCATATCTCAGGCAATATGCTAGCTAGAGTCATGAAACTTCGCACATAGGTTGAACTAATCATTGTTAATAGTATGTGTCCGAAAAATTGTTCTATGCGCATGCGCAACGTTAGAAATGGTCTAAAACGCGTTTTCATACAATCAAAATTTTCTCCGCTAGGGGGCGTTTCCGCATAAAATGACCTATATATTCGGACTCAGCTTGTCGAGTTCTATAAGTACACAAAGTTTCATGAAGAAATTCGACCGGCTGAATACGGAAGTTTAGCCAAAATGCGTTCTTTTGATGAATAAATTTAACAATTTTTTCCACACTCAAATTGAATTACAACAATTACCAATCAATTGGATGTCAATCGCATTATTAAATAAAACATTTATTATATTAAATTATTTTATATTTTATATCTAAAAAGATTCATCTTTTGTGTTGAGAGCAACATCAAAAATCATTTTCTTTACCAAAATTTGTTTAAATTTTCTCATGCGGTCCCAATTACATTCTAACTTTATAACTTGCGTTATAGACTAATAGACTGAAAATTCCATTCTCTTTCTAAGCGAAACTATATCATTACTAGCAATAACATGCAAAGTTCTTGTTCCTTTTGTACTGAAATATCTGATTAATGATGAGAAGCTTTCATTCGAATGTTTAGTAACACTAATATACTCGCTGTAAGGTTTTTTCATTGAAATATGATATGCATATTGAAATGGAGGTGTTCCGCCTTGAATTTTGCAGTCTAGTTGAACTCTTTCAAACACTTAAACCTCGGTTGGACCATCAACAGTCAAATTAGTAATTGGATCTTTGCTGATCAATGTAATATTGAATGTACCAGATTTTTGTATCAGACGACTTCCATTGG